AAAGAATGTTAAAAAATTTTAAAATGCATTTACATGCAGATGCAATTAAATTAAAACTGAAAGCTTATATTAATTATGCACCGTAAAGTTAAAGTTAAGCGTTTGAAATTGCTGAGTAAAGGCTTTAACAGATGTACGAAAATATTTGAGCTGTCTATTAGAAAAATTTAACGATAAAATATTTTTTCCCAGAGAAGTGAGAACTGAGTGTTTCGTTTTCCTTCCTTCTTTTTTCCAAGATTTCACGTTTCGCTTTTCCTTCTCTAATTATTTTTTAAAATGGAAATGCATTTATTCTGTCTACATTTTCTCCATCATTCGGCAAATTTCCCCTTTTTTATTAATAAAACCAACTATAAAAATTCGTTTTATTTATATATTCTAACCATTAGTCATGCAAAAACAAGTTAGGAAATTCCCAAAAGGACGTTTCACTTTTTCAGCAAAAAATAATGGTGGGGATAATTGGGAGAGCAAAAAAGAACAGGTAAAATAAAATTTAATTTAGAAAAAAGAAATTAAAATAAAATTCAATCTGATTTAAAAGAGAAATTTTTGCTATCGTCTTAAAAGGATTCCAAGTACTTTTCCTTTTTTAAAGCATTCTTTGTGATTTTCCTTTTCCCGCTGTATTTTAACATTTTAAGAATTTTAGTTTTGTGTGGTATTCTCGTTACTTGTAATAAATTTACGGTTTTCATTAAACTGCAGCTTAGGATGGAAGAATAATACAAAGGACATGAGATACCATACATTAAGAGCTAAGGTGACATGAAATTTGGGTCCTTTTTTATCATCTTTATTTTAATCAATATATTTGGAATTCATACAGCATTTAGAAATATAACTATTGGGAACGGCATATATCAGTCGCAAAGCCCCCCCCCCATGTACCAAATGATATTCCAGAGACAAAAAGAATTACCTCCCCAGCATTACCACTCTTCCTCACACATTTGACATGACTATTAAATTCCAAGAACCCCGAAAACCAAATAACCAGATGCATAGAGCCTCCAGGAATAGGACATCACTATCCGTCATCGCAAAAGTAGTCACACTGAAACACCCACTTCCTGTCTAAAAGACTATGCTCAAAAAGTTGCTGATATTGTTCCAGAGTCGAAGCGAAATACGAGCTTGTTAATCCGGTCGTACGTAAAATTACATTCTCAACATGATCTAATCCAAACTCTTGGAATGATGAAATCAGGAAAAACCAGCTGTAAGCGAGCGATATTAAACCGATAATTGACTTAATCAAGACATTAAATAGGAACCTACCTGGCAGGACGTTTTGATCCACAATTTTTCAATAAAACAATAGTGGGCTCACTCTAACATTAGACAAGGTGTCTTGAACTGGAAGTTCGAAATAGGTGATGGAAAGGCAATCCAAACGCAGCTGGTAATTCTATGGTGCCGGGCGTCCTTAAAGAACTACAGAGCAGTCTTCCAAGATGCAACTTCGGAATAATGAAGGCCCCCAAGCGGCTGAGCGCTAAAGGTCGATGAACACTGGTTGTTCGGTCCAAGGTTCAGATCCCGCAAATGAGCTACTTGCATGGGCATTTTCGAGGATTTCTTCATGTATAACGTGTATACTTCATGTATACTAGCCAGTTTTCCTTAGAAAGTCATCAACGAAGACAATCTTCCCTTTCGACAAATAGCCTCGAGTGCTTTGCCATATTCAAATAAATCAAAAACAAAACAAACAGAATAACGAAAGCTAACTATATATTCCGATAGCGCTTTACCTACAGTAAAGCAAGGGCTGACATTTAAAAGTGATGCCAATCTTGTGACGCCGACACGAACCAGAAAAAGGGAACTTGCAACATGACAATGCAGGAGAGTCTTTTGGACGCATTGTCTTTGAAATCCTGGGCTTGCGTTATTTAATTATGGCACGAGGGTCATCTGTCTAAGCGGAAGGATGCCTTCATGGAGGACTTTTCAAGAGAAATATCTGATATGCATATTACACATGAGGAAAATCACGAAAACGCCCAAGCCCCCAATCCGTTTACCGGGATTTGCGGACTTAGCACTACAAATGCTCAACAATTTTATCGCGCTGGGCACCCGACATCTTAGAACGTTCCTTTGAACTGATGTTGGCAGCAAATACGTCCTCGTTGTCATTGATTACTTTACAAAGTGGCCTGAAGAGCATCCTGTCTTTGATCAACAGGCTATCACGGTAGTATAGGTAGTGATAATGCATTGAATTTCCAGTTTTGGAATGCATCTTCCATTGCATTCTGATAAAGGAAAGAATGTTATATCGCTTTTAATGGAAGCAATCTATAAACTACTCAGTATAGGCAAAACCCAAACAAAGGTTGCATCCACAGACAGACGGCATGGTAGTACTTCTGTTCTACGACAGTGCTGTTCACGATAGTACCATCCACTCTCCATCTCAGCTGCTCTTCGATTTTGATCCTCAACTGCCTTGGGATATGTTGCTTCATCTGCTTTGGATGCGCCTTCATCTCTTGAGGAGCACATTCAGGATCCCCAGGCAAGGTTTGAAAGGATGCAAGTTTTCACGGGAAAGAGTTAACTTAGAGACGGAGAAGATAAAGCCCCGACACGAAAACAGAGCCGCAGGACATCAATTTAACGTAGGTAGTAAGATGTGAAAGGATAAGACTTTCTCCTAAACTATCACCATGGGAAGACCTAATTGCATTGCGACCTAATTGTCATCTAAACAGGCTGATGGGCGTCGTAGTTCGGAACCGTATGTCATCAAATTCTGAGTCGTTTATATTCTAAGCCTAAAGTCATGTCTGGAACTTGGCTGTTGCATACTGTATGCCAAGTACGGTGGTGTCTCGGATTGTCAAAACAAAGACATTATATTATCGGCTAGCGTTACAAAGGGGGTGAAATCGATTACCAAATATAGATAAAAGACGATAGAATATTCAACCCATTAGTTCCCAAGCAGCATGTCTCCGAAAATATTTATACGCTTTTCGTTATATATGTGAATCATGTGTGTTTATTTTCGAAGCCATAATGCTTGAACAATGTGTAACAATTAATCACAAAAGAAGCAGATAGTATACAATTGTTTTGCTTTCATGAAATCAGAAGTTTAAAATCAAATGCAAGCAAATTGTGCCCTTTATTATGCCTTATCTGTGTTGCATGTATGAAATCCATTGAATAAGCAAAAACATATGCTTTGTTTATCTTGACATCGGATAGTTTATGTGACTAAACCCATCCTTTGTACATGAAGAAAGAAATTAAGTTCACTTTCGCAAACCTGAACATTCATATCATGATGGAGGTTCGTAAGTCCAGGTGCACCTTTCCTGTACTTCAAAAATCAAGAGATAAAAGTTGACCACATCGACTCCACACCAACCTGGGAGGGCGATCTAGACGTACTGGCAAACCAGATGCACTACAAACTATGGGACTTGTTGAAGAAACGCTGATGAACGATCGCATTGAAGTAGGAAGTCCATCGGACTCTATTTGCTACTATATAATAAGTTCCTACTAACTAGCCGCATTGCCTCAGGCAGCAATTACGCTTAAGAATTAACATAAAACTTCGAAATATCCTTTTTATCACTCGTAAACACAGTGAATGCAAATTTACAGGCCTACATAAATCTGGCAAAAGTCTCTTCGAAATTGCTTGCAGCAGGTACTGAAAGCAGATGTAAATCTGTAAATTGCTTTTTGAATAGGTTTTTGCACCTAATGATATGAAACATTTTGTGGTTAATTTATTGAAGCAATGTGACTATTTTACTAACTAAATGATTTGATCTATAAACAGAGTAGAGAAAAAATTTACTTTATATTTAGAGACATCCGCATTCCGAATGCAGAAGCAATCTTATTTTGCGTAACTCTAGAAGCACATGTCAAGGATCCATATTTGGAAATAAAGCTGCCTTTTAAAGATCAAAGGAAACAATTTGATACAAATTAAAACACTATTCATTAAAAAATAATTCCTACAGGATTTTGATTGTAATGTTAAGTACAATGTCTACACATATTTGTAATTTATTTGTTATCTTACTTTGACACTCCGATTATTTCTATAAATTTTATAATTAAAAGAGAGATGGTTACGATAGTGCATTGTGAAAGAACAAACAGGTTTACATGCAATTTACAAACATATCAAGCAAAATGAGTTATATAATTATGTGATTATAAATTTAATAATATATATAAAATAAATAGCGAATTATGTTTTCCCCGTTGCTCATTATGATATTTTTTTAAGTGGAACTGCGCCTTGCCCTATGGATTCAGTCTTATTTTCTGTGTTTCACTATGGAACTAATTTGGATTAAGAATTAGAAAACGAGGAACGTCTGACATTGCATAAAAAATCCCGAATATAGTTACTGTACTTCAGCCACATACAGCGTTTGTAATAATACTGAACCTAGAAATCATATATCAATTAATAATTTGATACTGATCTTAAATGAGTGGTTTTAAAACTTTGTAGCAAAAATCTCAAACGAAAATTACACAAAAGAGAAAATAATAAGTGTTATGAATGGAGAGTGTATTAAAATGTTTAATAAAAAAACTAAATCGCTATTGCGTACAAGGTAAATATATCTCAAAATGATACTAGAAAAAGCACATTTTTTCCCGATTCTTAGTAATTTTTAAGGAAATAAAACTCTTTTTTTTTAAACAAAATTTACTTTCTCATTTAAAAAAAATCAATACATTTATTCATCAATATTTGGATATATAATATTGCTTCTTAGCATCAGAAAATTTCTTAATATGTAAAATATCCACTCTAAAAGCATCATTTTTGCTGTCTGATATTTCAATCCATCATAATTCTGATTGAACTGTAGCGTATTTGGTATTTGATATTCCATATTTTTAATGTATATATATATATGAGAGCTCATGAATAACATTTTAATTTAGTATTTAACAAGCTTATAGTTTTTTGCTCTAATTAAATATAGTTTTTTTTTTTCCAGTGATCCTAATATCATCGCATCCGATGGAGAAGCTCAAAGTGAAAATTTAAAGGGTCGTTATAAGAAAATCACGTGGCACCCCTATGAACCGGTGCACCAAAAATATCTTAGTATATGTAAGAAAGTTATACGTACAATTTGCTTTCATTTTTATATTCAGTTTTATATAAAATTTTGCACACCAAAAACAGGCACATTTATAAAAGTAATATCATTTACTGTCCTAATTTTATAGGCCTAAAGAGTGAAAAAATTAGAAATTTGAATTAATATTAAAACTCTGCATACTCGAGGATTATTCTAACAGTTTCTCGAATCATGTGTGCCGAAGGCGCTAGCACACTAAGTGCTCACTATGTTAATAATATAAGTTATAAAACTCATCCAGTTGACTACTTGATTGTATGGAGAGGATAACATATAAATAAAATATTTCTTTCGGAAAACTAAGTTCAGAATAAGTACATTTTTATCTGCAGGCCCTTAAAGTATTTTGTTGGTATAGAATAAGATGGTTATTTCAGAATTAATAATAGTGGAAGGAATAAACATTTAATTCTAAGTATTCCATGCATGAGAACCATTCTGAATTATAGGATTAAATGTACTAGAACATTATACCATAACTAAAAAATAAAGGAACTTATTTTTACTTAGTATACTTAGTTATACTTTCTCAAACTTAGCCAGTTCAGTAAAAAAATTGGAATTAAGCATTATAAGATTTATTTAAGCATTATTAAATTTATTTAATATTTTATGCTATTGTAATGCTTCAAATTAGCATATGGTAAATCACAATTGATATCAGAACTACTGCATTCAGTTTTTGCATTCAAAAATTGCTTTGCTAAAGCTTCATTCTTTTTATCTATATGATAAATGTTGCTTTATTACGTAAGTACCTAATATCTATTTGGTACTTACGTACTAACGCAAACCCCAAAATAAAAGTAGGAGAATTTTCAGAGTACTCCAAACTTCTGTAGGGCTATAACAATTTTTCATTTATAACTATTGCCAACTATTCTACGTGTATTCTCTTTGTTGCGTTCTAAGTCAGGGTTTGTCACAGACAAATCGGGATATTTTTGGTGATACAATCTATTCTAAAATATGCGATTATAAGATTTCTTCGCTATGGAAATAATTACGGAAACATTTCTGTTGGAATGAAATATTTTGCACGAAATCGTTAACATAAACAATGGTTTTGATTGTATTCATAAATTGAACTTCAGGAAATTTCCACCAGAATAAAAGTAACAGAAAAGCATATGTTAGTAGACTTACTGAAGAATGTTCTTAATAAATACTTAATTAAAACATAAAATTGCTATTTAATAAAATTGGTTGTTACAAGTCATCGTTCTTTTTTTTTGTGACAGTTATCGTTCTTTTTCTGCGGCAGTCATCGTTATTTTTCTTCATAGCTCTTGTTCTTTGAAAAAAATCCCCAAACGTCGTCAAGCTATTTGCGCTAATGCGGAAGAACCAGATATTTTGCGTTGTTTTTGAGCAAAACCGGATATAGCTTTTGTTTTAAATAGAATTAAAACGCAACAAACAAATTGCGAGTGTTTACGGAATTAATATTAAATGCTAATGTCAGATGCTGTACAAAATATTTCACTAAATGTCGTCATGATATGATGATTCCCATTAAAGTAGTGTTAAATTAGATTTAAGCAAAATAAATAAATTTAGTTTGATTTTTGAGTAAAACAATATCGATTTCGATGACGATCAGGCAAGGGTTCCTCTTCTTCAAGAGAAAAACAAATACAACAAATGGGAGGAAGGCAAAAATTTTAGATCAGAATCAATGGGCGAAGAAAAAAGAAACGAACATAGCTAAAGCTGTTGAGGAAAATATTAACAAAATGTGAAAACATAAGATATTGGAATTCTGAAAGCGTAAGGAAAATCAGGAGCAGAATTGAAATTATAGAAGATAATTACTGGTCGAAAACATTTTGTAGGAATCCAATTCACGACATGAAAAAGCAAGTTGGATATATTTCGCAGAATCAAAATCGTGAATAAATTTCCGGATATAATTAGCTTTAGAAGACATGATTTTTTCTTCTTACCGGACTTATGATTCGTGTTCCTTGACGCAATATATTAACTCTCTTTTAATTTGTACGTTATATCTTTAACCACACTAACAAAATATACTGCAAATTTTCCAAGAAATAAAATCTGAGATGGAAACTTTAAGACTTGAATAATGAATGTAATTGATAAGTGAGAAAATGAGCTGAAAATGGAATTTCTGGGGAATTTAAGCAATTTTGTAATTGAGTGAAAGAGGATATGAAATTACAATAAAGTTATTAAAGTTATTTAAAGTAGCAGAATGTCTTCGTTGAGCGCAGGACAAAAATGTTTCAAGGTTTTATCAAAGACCGTAGAAGAAAATCTTCTGTCAGTGGCAATGGATTTGAAATAACTGATATCATGAGAACGCACAAATTCTGAAGAACAAACTTCGGGAGCTCGATATCTTTAAGAAGAGGGAGGGGAAATTTATTTAGGTGGATTAGATGATTTAGAATGAGAAGGATTTCTGAATCCTAAGGCTAAGGCTTTCAATTTCTAGTATCTTACCACGTTTCATAATATATTCGTCGTTAGTTACAAAGATAAATAGAAGAAGGATCTCAGAAGAGATCCTTCTTCTATACAAGTCCTGGATAGTTAGAGCTATAGTACAAGAAATCATAATGATTTTCACTTCACTTCGCCTGTTGCTACTTACATAAACCTTTGCTTTCCTCTTTGTAGAATGTTTTTCTTTCCTAATATCTGAAGATGAGGAAACTGTGTGCAGTCACTCTCGAAGTCAACAGAGTTTTGTTTAAAATTTACCCCTGACTAATGCTAATCTTTTGGCTAATTAAAATTTTTACAATTGCTTCCCTTTTGGTGTTAAATGTTTCAAGCAGAGGTTAATCTGCTCCAAAACACTTGTTCGAAGAACAGTTTGTAGAGTTCCTCACTTTGTAATTACTAAGTTACTGTTGGAACTGAAGAATCTTAAGATCTGATAAGCGAATAATCGCTTGAGTTCGTGTGACAGAAAACAACAAGATAGAAGCATAAACTAACCCTTTATTATTCCAACTAAAGTTTAACAAAACTCCATCTTGGAGTGTGCAATAAAGCCGACACTTCGGCTTGAACTTAAGAGATTGAGAATAGTACTAAACTAATCTTCACTAAAGAGATGTAGCCGAAGCTATCAAGATTCTAACAGAATTGGCCCCTTAACGTTAATAGACTGCGAAACGTTAAACGAAAGCCTAAAGTACGGCCGAGCGTAATAATAGCTTACGAGAGAGTAGCCTAAAAAGGCGGACGCATGAAGCCAGAATACATTTCTAAGACTGAAGAACTTCGCGGTTAAATACCGCTTTTCCTCATTATGTATTCAGACGTGATTCTAAAACTACGTTCTGGCCGTAAGTAGTAAGTTGAAGTTAAGAAGCGACAGGAAAGGTACTTTAACTAAAAATTTACTGTTAAAAAATTAACATAATCCTTATAAGTTTTTGTCAAGATGTTTAGTTCATTAAACATGACATGTTCAATATACAAAACATCAGATCGGCTTGAAGCAGCATTGTTTTGGTATCATGAGTGCCTTCAAGTTTCAACTACAATTTAATCATGGGCGATATTTTGTGTGTGTTTGTATTATGACTGAGGCCGAGTATCTAGTGTTAAATGGACTTCCTGCAGTCCGTCGTTCCATATAAACGAATAGTTTGAAATGTACAGCTATGCTCAGTAGACAGATGCACCCTAAAAGGATGATATTCAAGTGCGATACAGATTTATAGATGTCTATTTTAACAGTCATTTTAGATGAGCAGAAAGAAATTGAAAATTTGTGTAATTAATAATAAGCACTGAAAAATAGATAGCTATAAATAATGCCAGAAAACAAGAATAGACAAAAAATAAATATCGTAAATCACCGATATCACCCGCAAGGTAAACTGTAAAACGCAATTCAGCTGATACTTTGACCCACAGTCTTTTTGAAATATTCAGTAATAAATAGATACACAATCAGGAATGATTGCTAAAGAACTCATTGCTGTTAGTCGAAGATGTATTTATATGGCGTCGTCCGGAATTCTGGATGGTCAAGAAAAAATCGCTTTGGCAACTTCGAAAATATGTTTTTCTAAAAGTTCAAGAAAGTTATCAAGATAAAGTGAAAGGTCGGCAACACGGAAATAGAAATTGTCGTTCAGACCCTAAAGAAGCGTTTTCCCTTATGTCTGGCGTTCTACTCCCATTTGAACTATTTCCGCAATTAAAAAATCGTTCGATTCCGAATCACAAAAGCTAGACTTCTATACAAGAAATGAATACTTAAACACAGTATATATGATCACAGATTCACGTACACAAAAAATTAAAAAATTGAATTTAAAATATTTCTTAAAATTATTACAATTATAATTAACATTTTATATTATAATAATAATGATTATATATATATATATATATAATCATTAATATTATAATATAAATTTTGAGACCAGATAGGTCTTTCGTCTAATTACCAGTTCGCTTTACATTTTCTTTTTCAATTATATATATATATTTATAAATCATAATTATCACTATTATAATATAATAATTATATTAGTATAATCATTGTAATTAATATAAAATCTATATTAATTATTACTATATATTATTATGTAATAATTGTAATATTTATTTTTTATTATTATATTTATTATGGAAAAAACCTTACAATTATTATAACCTTAAGTGGATTAAAATCAATAAATAAATATACAATATTACATAGTGCACAAAAATAAAAATGCAGTTAAGCACAAAAATACTTTCATAAATTTGCAACAATATGTGATTTATTTACAACTTTGAAATACATTTTACTGCTTCACTTATGAGATTATAATCAGTAATCAATAATAAATTGTTATACTATGCCTCACCTCTATGTTACCACAGTCTTATTTAATTTATTCGGTGTGCTTCATTCTTAAAATGTGGGTGAGAATGTATATTTTTTTTCTTCACTATTACCCGTATTTCTGATGTCTAAATAAAATACTTTATATTTTCTTCTAAGATAAAAAGTCATTATCAGTTCTTTTCAATTAAAAAAGTCAGTTAGCTATGTATCATAATATAAGAAATCCAGATTTATGTGCGTATGTTAGAAAACTATTTTAATTATTTTGCTGAAAGTTTAGTATAGAAGGAAAGTCTTTAATACTTGAAAATAAATTTATGTTAATTTAAAATAAATAATGTTTCGTTTAAGAAAAAGGATGCTTAACTTGAAATTGTAATATTTAAATATAAAAATCTGGTTTTCTAATATACCGATTTTCCCACTGTAACACCATGCGCAATGAGTTTGAAGAATCAAAGCTCAGTAATTTATAACCTTTTTCGCGTATCTTGTCTTATACTATAAATACCTTTTTAGTTCCAGTTGCTGATATTGCATGATATTCACAATGTGTTAATTTTAATTTTATAGATATGAAACCTAAAGTCAAAGATCATTACCATGCGCATCGTCTCTCTTATTGGCTGAATCTTATACCTCGACTTCATAACTCTGGTGATGTAAATGTTTCTGCGCAACACCACCGTCTGCAGGACCACGATAATCCACGCAGCTATGATGGAATCGTTCGTCAGCCACCTGGAGGTGGCGATCCATTCCCTTCACCAGCACCATCATCATCAGCTAAAGACCAAGAATTGCTCTCAGAACTGAAGAACGACTCAAAAAGCGATGTCAACATATCACTCAAACTGGACTCTAAAGAAACGGAAATGATATCTAAACTCGATAAAGGCAACAGTACAAAATTCCTCAGTGGTCAGAGAGTGTACACTACAGCACTCATTGTCACGATAGCAGTTGGTTGCTCTCTCCTTGTGTTAAATGTTCTCATCTTTGCTGGAATTTACTATCAAAAAGAGAAAGACAACTTGGAGAAGAAACTACAGAAGACATTTTACCAGGTAGGAAGATGTAAAGGAATAAATAATACGGACATTCATGAGCTTATATTTCAGTAACGTATTTTGAAGTCAACTGGTATTGAACTCATATGCCTTATTATAAATGATTTGCTTTTAGAATAGTATTATAAAAAGTCTAGCATATTGTCTTAACAGTTTCCAAGCATTAAAAACTAAAAGAGGGTAAACGCATTTGCTTTAAAAATATTTTCTAAATGAATAAAAGTAAAAAACATCAAGAGAAATAGAATTAAAATACTTCTTTTGTGGATACGTAAAGAACTAATTAAAATGCTTGTTATTCTCTTCAATGTGGGCTAAATTTGCAGAGAACTTCGAAAAAACACATACTCATGTATGAAAAAACACATTATATCTGCTCTTTGGAAAACGTTTAATGGAAATAAGTGGTTTCAGTATTCTGATATTAAGTTTATCAAGAAGAGAGACGATAAAATTTTGGCCTTTGTTTTTTGCAAATCGGGATTTTTTAGGAACATCTGAGAGAATGTAAAAGTTAGAAATAAAATAAAAGCATATAAAAAAAATAACTTAAATCATTATCTAAAACTGTTTTAGAAAGAATTGGAGTTAAATTTCCCGTTGCCTGTTTGAAGGCACTGTTTCAGAGAAATTGCCTCATCAAAACTCTGTTTGTAATATCATTTAAATTTTAAATACTATTATATAGGCTGTATTTTGAATTGCTCTTTAAGGGTACCTACTAAAGATATAATAACTTAAATTTTGTTATGATTTTTTAATTTTTTACTAGTTTTAGATTACATCGCCATGGAAAATATTTTATATTTAAATATTTAAATGCAGACAAGTTGAAAACTAAGAAAAAAAAAAGAAAAAGAAAAACTCGGCCTTTTGGTTAAGATCAAAGTGTAGCTGAAAGCTTTCAGATATCATATTACGCCGAAAAAGGCTTTTTTTTTTTTTTTTTTTTTTTTTTTTTTTTTTTACGTTTTGTGTGCTGCCTTTATTTATTAAATATCATGCTCTTCGTACTTAAGCCATAAAATTATGTTCAGAAGCAATATAAGAAAACATACAACAGTCTCACGCGCTGGAGTTAAATATGGTTTTCTCCTAGAGTATTGTCATTGCTCGCTTTGCAGGCGTTGAGTTTGTAAATTAAAATTTCATCAGCTAAAGTTTTACAAACTATGAAATAGATAATAAAACAAATTTCAGACTCCAAATTTGGGCTTCCATATGCCCATATTCGAGTGGAGGACTACATTATTCAAAATTTTATGTGTCTAAATACCGTTGTTTTCTTCACAATGTGAGAAACATCCATACATTCATGGAGATTCTTCAGTATTTAATTTCATTAAATATATAATGCAGGGCTCTAATATTTGGTGGTAACATTTTTAAAAGTGAAACGCCGTTTTATAGTGGAAGACGGAAATTTCCAAAATGAAATTAATAACCCTTCTGGGCAAGTTGCTCCTTTGGTATAATAAGAATTAAGAAAAAATAAACGGTAACGTCTTTTACAATTTTTCAGAATCGAACGCCTGACCGCCCGAAATGGTTTTCGAGAGTCACAGCAATTTCCTCCTCTCTCCATCCATTGACGCGCAAAGAAGAGTGAAGGTTTCAAATGACATCCCTTCTATTTCTAGCAAAATAAAGATAAGAAACCATAAATAAATCCTTTTGGGACAGGTTGTCTGCAAAAAAATGAAACAATGCATTAGGGGAAATTGCACCTGCTTTTGCATACTTTAATGGAGGGAAGTAAATAACATTGAATTTCGGCCATTTGGGACGGTTGTGGTCGTTTGAATGAAAGGTAGTCTGGGGCGTCATGGTCTTCAAAGAGTTAATCCGTGAAGCCAAGCGGAAAGGAGGGAGAAAATATCTTATAAAATATTTAGCAGAAAAATTGTACGGAAAGATAAAATGAGGGATTCTTAAACAAGTATAAATAATGATACTCTCTCTTTCAACTCATGACTCTGCACTAATGTTTGTCTGTAACGTCTATCCAATTCTAATTTTATTTCAAATTCTGAGATTTAACAGATGACCATATCTAAGATATCTTAAATGGGGTATGTTTCCAAATCCCTCTATACTAGCTTTTTACTGAAAGTAACTTGTGATTAGACCTAAATAAGACTCTAAACGATTATCACTATCTCTTGAGAAGTATAACAGCGCTTTAGAAAGCGTATAACGGCCAATTCTATTTAAAAGAAAGGTAAGATGAACAGAAGGTAAATCTGGTGTTTACAAATCCGTCAGCATTTATGGAAAGAACCAAAATAGAATCTTAAATTTAAAATGAAATTTACTTATCAAACAGCCAAAGACTACGCAGTGTAAATTTAACCCAAAACGTGGCTCTTAAGCTTTACACTCTCGTGAAAGCAGAACCGACAGGAAAAAAGCAACGTCCAAGACAGGATCTCTTATGTTATCATAAGAAATTATCAACGTGGTCTTCAGAAGGCAAAACATGCTCTGTCTAAGCAATCTCAAACCTCAAACCCTTACTTAAATACGCAAACTAATTTGCATTCTGGCGGGAAAACGGGTAGCAAGAAATGATACAACAGATTTGCCAACATAAAATAGCTGGTTAAGGAAATTAAAATAAACCTTACATTTCTTTCCTCCTGCGTTTCAATCTGATTACAGTTATTTACATATGATGCAGGATCTAACTAAAATCTAGGTTTATTAGGTGCGAAATATCATCTATCTTTTCGATCAGTACCAGATTTTTATACATCGCTCTTTCCATTCATGTCATATCAAGTTCATTGGGGATAATAAAAAATACAATCATCTTGAGTCTTTAAATATTTTAGGAAAGCTTTGTTTGATTAACGGCTTTAGACTGACTTTCAATAGATTTATAAATTCACTCTCCAAAAAATAACGTACAGGACAAACATCTAAACCCTGCTTTAATAAATTATTCAATTAAATAACTAGAGTGTTCTTTAAAAACTGATTACTCATTCACGCTATACTATGCTATTTAATTTGTTTTTAAGTTTTGGCTTTATTGGTTTCACAGAATGTGAAAGCCAAAGCATTTGAGAGCTAACTTAAAGAATGCAGAGTAAGAAAAGTACAAAAAACAGTTAACGTAAAAATTTTTGGTTACGAAAATAAATATTAAAGGCCTTAGCTTCGTAGTGAAGGATTCATTAGCCTTTTGTTTATCTGATTTTCTCATTATATATTGGCATATCTTAAATTAACATATATTTCATGTAGTACATTTATTGACTTAATTAACTGAGAAGTTTGCTGATACATGTTTATTAAATTAACCCTTCAGTAACCACCAGAATTATTACTTGTTGCATTATAGCATTTGCTGTCTCATGTGCCTATTATCATTCGTAATTAATATATGATATTATCTGTTCTATGTTCATGCTGAAAGAGTAATTAGTTTTTTATCACATGATTTCCTATCTGCAATTAACACACTTTTTTATAATATTATGTATTTATTGTTTGACGGTCTTGCTGCCTCTTTTTCATTAAATTACGCGTAAAGAACTCATTGTATTTTTTTCTTCCTAATTGATTCATATTTATCATTTCTTTATATCAGTACTGAAAAATATGTTATACTTTCGTGTAACAGATTTTTCTCATTATATGACATAATTTCTAAAATTAGAAGATTTTCTTTAAATAAATTATTCATTTATTTTTATGCTTGTTACAGGAAAGACGTAGTGATGACGAAGAAGGCCATCCTTCAGGAGAGAAGCCATTCTTGGTAAAAGATTTATCATCATCAATGATGCTCAATCAGTATTGTTCTCAACAAGAATTCGATGGTAGTCAGACACTGGATTTAGTCCAGCCAAGTAAGGCTAAGCAGTACCAGCATCACACTTTACCTTCTGCAAATAGTTGCGAATCATGTGACAGTCAGTTTCATATGAGCAGCAGAACGCCACAGGGAGAAAAGGGTGTTAGTGTGAGAGAGGCTCAACCCCTTCTTACACCACCGTCCTCAAATCCGCACACCATCACAGCAACGGCAGACTGTTTACAAGGTTGGCAACACGCTCAAGAAATGTCAGTGTAAGGAATCCTCCCTTTTTCTTAAAAGAATGAAATTCATATATTTTTAATCTATTGTTTAAGTGTATTTATAACCTCGGAATGACGTCTGCTGCAGTTTAAGAAAAAAAATTATTTCTATTTAAATAAGAATGGCGTAAGGATGTGAATGGTTACTTTGCAAACAAAAAACGTTTTCCTCAATATGTTTCCAGAGTTTACATCTGACTAAATAATTTATTGCTTCAAAACCGAAAATTTAAATCATTACAGATTAATTAATTAGAAGAATACTCAAAATCACACTGAAACCTTGTCTTGGCGTACAATTTAAATAAAACTTTATCAATTTCGAGAGGGATCAGATACAGGTCTATCTTTTCAGAAAAAAATATTTGAAAAGAAAGAAGGAACGCCTTTTCTGGATTTTAAAGAGAGAGCGTGTTTCTTGTGTGCATGCTACGAGTTACTTCTTACCAGCTCTGATAGTTGAAATTTTTCAGCTTTGCTTTGCATCGCTGGCGAAAGTTGTATTTTGACGTTGCGGTAGAATCACAGAGCTGAATACGTTATAAATTGTGTAGTCTTTGACTACTGTTCTAACTAATTTTTTTTTTCTCTCTAAATGGGAAGGCCGCGCTATATTAAATGTCCTAGTACTTGAGGCTTCTAAATTTAAGTTAGCAAATAACAAAAATGAATCTAGCTAGTATTACTGCAAAATAAACTTTTTATATTTTGAGTTGCTAATTACGGTACTATCTTCAAATTTGTCAACTTCACATCCCGGCAGTTAATACTAAAACTCTAATTTGTTTTAGATAACAAAACATGTTGAGCAACTATCTTACCAATCACCATGACTTAGATTCTACAGCAAATTTTTACAGCAAAGTACCAGAATATCTTCCATTTGTGAATGAACGTCATTGGCGTATTATTACAGGAAATCTGTATATTGTTCCAGACTTAAATTAAGAAATCCAATGAAATTGGGTATTAAATTCAGACAGGTTACCAGAATTAACAAAATCTTTTGCCTAAACTGCATAAAAAAATAACATGAAAGAATTTATATTTAAAACCAGATATAAACTGGATCTTCCAACTACTACCTTCTTGAAATGGAAATATAGTAGTATTTTAATTCTTTCGCAACGAAGTCGCTCAAAACGCCCGACGATTCAGACATCGGGAGGTTATTCGAACGCCTGAATTAATTTTTACCGCCATTTCTGTATCGATGATGTATCATTTCGCCATTGTGATGCTTTCCCCCATCAGGTTAGTGCATTAATAATTGCTTTAGCGTGTTTTTAAATGGCATGACAATCATTCTTTTGAAGCGACTAAAAGTAGTTCTATTATTTGAATGCACCTTCCTTTCCTTTGCTTCGCTTCAGTGCTTAGCTATTGATGCCCGAAGTTGCAATCCTATTCGAAGAGAAAACGGCACACAGTGGTGAAAGCGCATAAAGATCCCAAGAGAGAATATTTCTCTTTCCTGAAGTAGGTTACAGTTAGTGCTGTAAGATTCTACTTGGCATGGGGGGGGAAAGAAATCCATTCCAACAAAAATATGTACATACGAGCGTTTTAGATGTTTGAGTGAAACAAATTTTGGCCTCTACCGATGCGAAAGAGTTAAACGAAATCAAACTTAGACTAGGAAAATTTAAGAATTTAATTGGTAACATTAATTTGAATGCACTTACAAATAAGATACTTAACCTTAAACAGAGGTTTATGGTAACAAAATTTGACAACGGAAGTAATAACTTCAACATTTTTTGAAAAACAATTATATTAAACTAACTGAAACAGAATTTGCAAACTCATCGAGTCAGAACATAATCAGCCAATTATTTTTAAGAAAACTACTGCTAGCGTTCTGTCTAACCTCAACTATCGTAAAGTCTTTCGCCATAAACTCAGAATTTCAGTACTTATCACAGGATGTAGACTAAAACAGACTTCTAACTTTCCTAATGTTTACGCTTTGCCAAAGCTCTACAAAACTCCACAAAATTTCATGTTTATAAAACGTATTAACTGCTGATTTGCTTTGAAGCTTAAGAAAATTTGTTCAATTCTTTTTACTTCAGCTCTGAAAGATCACAACTTTAGTTGGATCATTAATTACAGTATTCTAGATATAACTCCTCTAAAAATCTAGAGTTTAAAGAAATCAACTGCTAATATTTCGAAACTTGTTAAACAACTATTCATTTAAAAGAATTTTATAGTAGTATTTTACCAATCCGCATTTTTCTCCTAAAAGATTTATAGTTTTAACTGAAGAAAAGTGAAAAGATTTCCTTCATTGCGCTGTTTTTCATTACTTCTTTCAGGTCCAGAAACCACTTCGCCAAGCAAATATGAATCTTTTTTGTAAATACCTTCAGCTGCGCTGATTATGTAATTACAATTAATAATTTTGAGGCCATATAAAAATTTCAAATTTACCCTTCTTGTTTAGTTCTAAACAAGATAAATCAAATAAAAAAGAAATATAATATCTGGATCTACAAATCTTTAACTACAAAAAAATTAATCTTTACATATGTAGGCATTTTAAATTTATCGTAATTAAACTAATTAACTGGCATATTAACGATTCCAGAAAAGGCATGGATAAACGATTATTAATCAATTAGCTTAAACCAGATATATTTGTTTGGAAGTTTCTTACTTACGGATAAACATGAATAAATTTGCATACTAAACTTTTGATTGAAAATAAAATTCTCGCTATATGTATTAACTTTTTTCTTAAAAAACATCTAACGTTAATGATAGAAATTAATTTTTAATCTAAATATATAATGATCGCATTATCGTAAACCGGTACGGTTGCGTATATTACTATTGGAGTTTTATAAATATTGTGATTTCGTTTTCGTTTCGTTTCGTTTCGAGTTAAGATTTGCCCTGTTCTTTTACTATTTTTTTTAATATTTTCCCAGAATATAGATATATATATATATTTTTTTAAATATCACCGTTTTTACATTTCACCCATTTTTAAATTCCCTATCTCGCGGGTTTTAGAGGGTAGTTTTTCATCAGTTTTTGTAAATATATATATTTTTAGGTTTAATGAGTTTGATTTTTTAAGCATTTTTTGATCTATAAGCAATAATTATTTTCAAGTAAGTTCAGATGTTCTCAACTATGTTTACAGAATTTAATTTGTTTTTAATAGTGATTAGAATTGTATTTTTCTAAATTTTCTTTTCGGGGTATTTTTTAAATTACTCGAGATTTAAATTGAATTAATGCCAATTTACATATTTTATTAAAGCTTTAAAATCAGATTTTTTTCAAGTGTTTTGAAAAGACGAAAACGATTCAGATTTCCTTAATTGTTCAAGATTGTTTCAAAAATGGCTAATACCCCCTTGAAAAGTCAGCATTTTTTCATGAAATTAGTACTAATTACTATAACATTTTCGTACTATATTTTTAGCTGATCAAAATTTTCATTTTATTTTACACACACACACATACACATATCTATAAATAACTGATTAAAACCTTTATTGCACTGCATTGTAATATATGAAAGAATTTTTTAAAAATTTGTCAAGTGTTTTTTTTTTTTTTTAATTTTACTTCATTCAGTGTCTAATTAATACATGAAAGCATGTGATATAAAATATGAAAATAAATATTAAATCATGTGATAAGTCAGAGACATGATTCAAAAACAGCACTAACTGCAGAACAAAATCATCTAAAATAGAAAAAAATATTCTGCAATCAATATTTAAAAGATTTTGAAAGACATATTGTTATATTCGCTTATTTGCAATTTTTGTTGACGTGAAATTTAAAAACGAAGAACTAAATAAAAATAAAAGCCCATTTAAATTAATGTTTGCTTACCAGTCTCAGTCTCATTAACTAAAAATAAATATAACATTTTAGTTTTAAATGAAATAATTACTTATAATGATTATAACGATTATCAACAACAAGGCTTCTTAAACTGAAGTTATTAAAATAATTAATTTTCTTTCATGGCCTGTATCATTACGATGCACACACACACACACACACACAATAAATAAATAAATAAATATTAATCTGAAATATTTCAGATTTTTAATTACGTCCAAAGGGGCGTTCTTTAAACGTTTTGTGTGTTACATTTATTTATTAAATATCATGTTTTGCGTACTCAAACCATACAGTTCAACAGCTATACCGCAAAATAATTTTAAAATGAGCATATCTTTAGAATTTCCGATACAGAGTCTCGTGCGCTGGAGGGTAAAAACGTCTCTTTTGTTTTCGGTACAGTGTTACTATTGCTCGCTTTGAAATCGTTGATGTTCTTAATCAAAAATTCGTTAAGTGCTACAAAATAGGAAATCGATAATAAAAGAAATTTCAAATTCAAATAAGGGCTTCTAAATGCTCATATTGTATGGAAGATTACGTTATTCAAATTTTTACGGCTCTAGGTACGGTTGTTTTATCACAATGCAAAAAAACATACATACGTTCATGCAGATTTTTCATTATTTATGTTCTTTAAATATAATACAGGGCATTAATATAGTGATAATATTTGGTGGCATTAATTTGAAAAGTGATTCACTGTTTATAGTTTTAAACGCAAAATGCCAGAACGAAATTAATAGTCCCTTCAGGGCAAATTACTCCTTTGGACAATAAATAAATAAATAAATAAATAAACAATTTTAAAAATAAACATCGAATCCAATTTAAGGAACATACATGGTGGCTGTAAATTCGTATGGATCTGCATATTATTAAGCAAAATTTCTGAACTACTTAGAAATAAAAATTTTTCTATGTTTTTGATTTTAAGGAATGATAAATACTTAAATATTCTACGTAAAAATAAACAAACTAGGTAACTACGCATAAATAGTAAAATAGTCTAACGTAACTGAAATTCATTCTAAATTCGTTTCCGATACCTACATTGAGTTGTGGCCTGCACCTGCAAACTGACAAGATCGTTTAATATTTGAAGTTACTGACAAGTT